TAGATAAAAAAAGAAACAAACAGCAAAAGTTACAGATAACGAATATAAAAAATACAAACATACGCGCACATAGGAATAAACAAGTAGAAGCTCTGAGCTGTATTTGATGTTCGTCTGTAATATCTGTGTAAAAAATACAAAAAACCAACTAAAAAAATGTACAAAGAGTTGCGATCGTTCTATATCTAATGTTTGTTTTCTCAGAATTTCTTGTGCATCATTGGGCAAGTTTTCGCGAGAAAAACGTAAGTGAATAATCAATCTAAAATCGATTATGTTGATTCATTTTCAGACGAACAGTTCATCGTCAAGTAGATGCTCTTGAGCGTACTCTTCATCAAGCCACAGACACTGATCTTGGACGGATTGATCGGCAGTTGTGGGTGATTGGAAGGATTGAACAGCCGTCGACGACGCATACTCGTTCCCTGGATGTAGCTTAGATGTCACATTTGTCTGAAAAAAAATGGATGCATAATGACCAACAATGTGGTTCTTTAATGGCTATATGCGGCGTCAGTGCTGTCTTTTTACATATCACTCAAGTACTCAGTATCATGAAACTTTGACAAAATTTTCCTTTGAGTTGAATTATGTATCAACTGTCTGTCTTCACCTACTGTTGTTAAAATGATCACCATTAGTCCATTTTTTTAACGCTCTTTTTTCACGTTGACTTCAATATCAAATGAACAGTTAGTCGACTTTTTTTGACGAATTTTTGTAATTTCCCTTTTTTGCGGCCACATCAAATCTCAACGTTGCCAATTTTATCGTAACTAAGTCGAGAAAAGGCTATCTTCAATGAAAAACGTCATTTTCTCTCAAATACCTGTGCTTTTCAAACTTATCATTGACAAACTTCTACTTCGTTTAATTCTCATCAAAATTTCGAGCCACTTTGCTGAAAAACATAATCTTTGATAGATTCTGAGTTCCGCATTATTCATCCTATCTCCGAGTCCATGGAGAAGACTTTCTTCTTCATTCGTTTTATAATTTTCTATACGCAAACTCTGAATATCCCGAGGAGAAGGTCAACTACTTTATCGACCGAACATATCTATAATCCATTTCATATTACGTAGAAGATAAGAAAATTTCAGCTCTATATCTTAGAATGGAAAAAGGATCAAGATCGGGTTTGAGCTGTCGTGTAGCGAAGAGTACATAACTGTACGATGAAGCTGAAGTTCTCCATCGTATCTCACGTGTTTTGCGAGGAGACCTTTGGACAACCATGTCTTCAAGCAAGGAAGCATTGGTTGATTTCAGTCGAAAGAAATTTTAAAGTCCGGGATCTGCTCCACAAAGTCATGTACGTAACAGACTATTCCACTCTCTCGTCTGGGTGCTGACCTCACTTACTGAACTCCTGAAAAACCACGCTTTCCGACTTGGTTGAACGTGAAAACATGTTTTCAATAATGCTGAGTCTCATCACAATGTTTGTGCTCCTCTTCATAGTAGGTGAAGGTCGGTATAGAATGATCACTAAGATAGCCGCTTTTTGTTTCACCTGTTCAGAACAGAAGGCCGAAGCTCAGTCATTGCTCACATTAGTAAGCTGAAATCTTCGACATGAATTTAGGAAACGTTTCTTGACATAATGCAGATGTAAAAAGATAAACTTGTTTTCCTAGTTTCACATAGATTTCCATGTGATCTAATAAAATTCATCAGTTTTTGGTTTGAATCAACAATTTTTTCTAACAATATCAGTATTGAGAAGGATCTCTTCGGAATTTATGCCGAACATTTCATCTCACTATTAGTGAGATGAAATGTTTCTTCAAACTGACATAGAAAACAGAGAGGTGTACATTCTAGTTAGTTTTATTTTAATCTGTTAGGTTCACAGAATATAGAGTAATTTCATAGTGAGTGCAGTGAACATTTGGATTAAAAGAAAAACAAATTTCAAACTTAGAAGCAATATCTATCGTGTATCTCATATATCAACGTCATATCGTTCTTTTCCGTTCTCTTCTTCTATTTTAGGAAAAAAATCTCTGGTTCACTCTCTATCGTTTCTTACTTTTCTTTTTTCGTTTCTGTGAATAAATCTATCAAATATAGGAAGCGCTTAAAGCGATTCAAGCGATGAACAATTTGACGGCATCCCTTAGTTACTAGGCATAACACCCTCACCTCTCAGGAGTTTTACAATGCGGAACGTAAGGCTCAACGCCTCGAAATAATTACATATAGCAAAGATAGAAAGAGATCAAGAGCACATTAAGCCTTAACTGTTTCGGTTAATCTTTTCCAAATAACTGTATATAATGTCCTTTGGTAAACAAGTTACTACTAATGCGATCTTCATATATTTGTTGTTGGGAATATAGAGCAATACGGACTGTCGACTTACCATTAATTAATCTCTTTTCCACTTTCCTTGGTCGTAAATTGATGTTTTTTAACACTGTTCTCAAGGTTTTGACTTTAAATTTAAAATAAATTGGTCGCTCTACACATATATTGAAATCTTTCCGATGGTATTTTTACGAACTCTCATTATCCTTCATCTTTCTATAGTGCATGGATTGACGATGTGTCTTATTTTCATGTGGTACAAGAGCTGGTAATTGATTGGGTAGATGTGAGGATATCGACAAACACGATGGGGAATGAGAATGATTATGGATAGGTTGTAATGATGAGAAGTAATGTTGATGAAAGGCGGTCAAAATTGAATGAATCATAAGATGTTTGATGCGTCCCTAACATGCATTTTATCAAATGCTAAGTCATTTATCGTAATCCCACAATTAATAGTTTAAATTTTAATTCATCAGCCAGGTTGTTTAGTTCATTATTATATCGATATATGTTTTCCGCCAGCTATATTTCATCAAATCTTCTAGATACGCGAAGACAAGGGAATCAATGGGTTATGAAGATCTGTAACGATAATAATTGTGGATGATAACTATGAAATACTGTTATAATATACTTAACTTGTTCAATGGCTTCATGGGATGGTATATGACGGGACGTAAGGTGTTCGTTCCTATTACAAATCCAATTCCCACCGACGAAGAAACTGCTTCAATAATTTCAGGTAGACTAATTGTTGATTGTATGGATAATTTTGGATTGTATTGATTAATCCATTCAGCACCTCGCACAGTTTTAATATCAACGTCATAGTTCGGCTGTCGAAGACATTCTGGTAGATGTTTAAGGTGGCTGTCGGCGAGAAAGAGATATGACGATCATTTTTGTATTGCAATACTATTACGGGGTTGACTTTCACTACGTGGTACTATAGTTAAATCTGGCATGTCCGTGGGGCCAGAAAAAAACCCGGTCTCCTACCGGCAGTTCGTCTAAATCCATAGGTGTGTCTTCTGTATTTTGTAATGTTGTTGCTATGATAGGAATTCGTTGTGCCATTACTGGTAGTACTGATAATTCCACTGTTTCAGTGGCATGATTAACTACTGTTAGTTTTTCCTGGACTTCAAAATCGGATCTTGGTGTTACTGGTTCTGTTACTGGAGTGTAAAATACTGTACCTATACTCACGGTTTTGTTTATTCTGTTTTCAGATGGTATTACAACTGTTATTGATGTTAGCGAGTCAACGGTTGAACATCAGCGACCAGAGCCTATGCCGACTTTCTTTATATTGTTTGAATAAAATTCAACTCAAAATAGCGGTAATCGACCATGCTGATCATCGCGGCAATGTTTTTATTCTCATCTCGCATTCTTTTCTGACCAGTAAAAAAGATTTATTGCCAAGTAGACTTTGTAGTGGTACGAGGTACTCATGAAAATGATTTTTTTGCTATCCTGAGTGCAGCGGTGGACTCAATTTCCATTTATAAATTGTTTGTAGATGCTTCTGTTTTTACATGGGATTTTTAGCTGGCTAAATTGAATAACAGAGCATGTAACAATGTAATCGAATCTCCGTTGTTGAAAGAACTTGTATCACAGCTCGTTAATTGGTTCACAAAAATTTAATCGGGAGGTTTTTCACGTGTCTTGGAAATGAAACAATCGGTTCATCAATCTATTGCGGAAAATTATCAAAATGCCTAAAGAGTTTTCTGTCGAACTTAAAGAAGTCTACTTTTGTGTTATCGATTTTATTGAAAAAGAAACGAATGGATCAACAATTCCACTTGGCTTGACCACTACTCGTATCCTTGCTATACTTAGTATCTCTAAAAGATCGCTGTTTAATCTGAAGGCCGAAATGAATAAAGAAAAAGAAACATCAGCTGAAGTTGAAGAAGTAGAGAGTATGAATCTTCGCTCACACTCGTCTTCTGCAAATACGGTCTTTCCTTCTTCATCGACATCTACTCTTACAGTATCGTCGTCGTCTACGAATCCTCTCGCCGATGAAAAGCGCAATTTCTTCGCCTTCTCAGCATCCAGTATTGTAACTGTTCCAAATCTCGAGTCACCAAAGAAGAATTTTTTTACTGATGAGAAAAGAATGCTAGATGAGAATAAACATTGCCACAATGATCAGCATGGTCGATTACCGCTATTTTGAGTTGAATTTTATTCAAATAAAGAAATTTGGCATAGGTAGGTCTCCGTGGCTTGCCTATAGCTCCCGAACGGTAAAAGCTAAATCAAAAATCTACGGTTGGTGGCAAATGACAGGCAATCATCTACTCTATCGAATGTATGTCCAACGATAAAGCCTGTGTTATACAAAATTTCAGCGCTAAGCGTGCTTCAAAAAGTTTCACAGATAGGTCGCCGAAAGTCGGTGTGGGGTCGCTGGATGTTAACAGAAAAGCATAAAGTTATCTTTTCTCTTTCCAACAACGAAAAAACTGTTCGAATAATAAATTGTAATCGAACTAGGATTGTACACAATTCAAACTGTCCAAAAACTTTTGATTCAAAAACTCTACCAAAACCATGACTTCGATATTCAATAATGGTAATGAGCTTAACGCTTACTTACTCACTCACGTCAGTTTATAAGGGAACAGTTTTGAAATCGAAGTACTACAAGAAAGTAAGAAATGCCACCGAAAGGCAAGGGGAAAAAAGGAAAAAGTGAAAAAAAACCAAAAGAAGCTGAAGAAATCTTACGTCCATCAGAAAAAGAACTTATTTTGCAGAAAGAGTAAGCTCATGACCAATAGCTTGATCTTCGTACCAGTGATCGTTTCTATTATTCTGTTTAGATTGGATGATAAAGTTCGTGAATTAGCCGAGATTAAACTGCGCGTACGTTCTGCGTATCCTTTAGAAGACATTATATACTTTTTGTTTGCTTACCTAAAATAATTGTTCTACTCGAACGTTTGATATGCCGCTAAGTATATGCCTAGAAATCTTTTACAAAATATTTCGAAAGGAATGTTTTTTAGACTTTGAGAGGAGAGAAAAATGTTTATGATTGCTTCTTTCTCTAGTGAATAGTTTAAGTAATATTTCATAAGCAATTAATAACTATTTTAAATGTGTTTTTCTTAACCAATTATCGGCAAGAGGAAAATAATTGGCTTAATGAAGAAGCAAACAAAGTTCGATCAGAAACTGTAAGTGACATTGTTCTTTTACAACCCTATCGCTGAATTTATTAGTTTGCTCTAGGCAGAATATGTTACATACATGTCAAAGAAAACGAATATTCGTCAAACAAAAATTGTCACATTAACCGATTATCATAAACAAGAAATTGAAGATATCAAAACTGAGAAAGAAAATATGCTCAAAGAATATGAGCAAAAGAAAGAAGGTTAATTGAATCTCACATGATACTGTATATGTCAGAGTTAAACACTGTCGACTAATTTTAGAACTACGGAATCAACTAATGCGTAAAGAACAACTGTTATCTCAAACAAGAAAAGAACTGGAAAACATGAAAGAATATAAAGTACTAAATCGCTTATTGTTACTGTATTGATACGATCTTTTGTTCTTTTCTTTTCTGTTTAGGATATTCAAGAGCATCAGAACAACGAAT